TCGTTCGTTCGTTCGTTCGTTCTATCATTCTTTCAATGTATCATTCTATCTATCGTTCTGTCATTCTGTTCTGTTCATTCTGGTACCTACATACCACCCAATCAGTGAGTATCAGTATTATGGGTGATTTACATAAAAACAGTGACTATCTAAAACAATAAACAACCACAATGCCAGAAAAAAACAGCATAAGCCCAGATAGCGATAGAAAAGAACAGGAGTGGGGGAAAAATTCAAAAGAGGCTGCCTTCGAAGGCCTCTCAAAAGAGAAGCATCTTCAGTGGCTTCTGAAAACTGGAGGGGGATAGCTTCACCAGGAGGCGATTCCCAAGAAATGGTGCCACTGCAGAAAAGGCCCAGACTCTTGTAGATGATTCTCTTGCCTGCTTCAGTGTAGCTATCCGGAGGAGCACAGCCTGAGAGAATCTGGTGGGATGGCAAGATTTCATTGGAGAGACACTTCGATAGGCGTTCAGGAAGTGCCATGGACTCATCTGAGCTCACCGTTCCTATCAGCTAGAATAGTCCCTTTGCAATGAATGAGAAAGGTTAGCAAAGAATCATTCCAGCGATTCGATGGTTCGAATCCAGCTGGGACTAACACTGGACTGATATGTTGATGAATACGTCTAGAGATTTTATCTTCTGTTCCATTTGCCCATGTGCTTGTTCCTTGTTCATGCTGAGTTGCCTTAACTTGTAGAAACTATTTCTCAGTTGTTTCGAAGGGTTTTTATTTTATTTTAATCCCACATTTTGGACTTTGGATACAGGGCAAAATAGAATAAAGGGAGGAAATAAGTAAATAAGCACGTTTCCGGATTTGAAGTGAAATTATTCTACCATCAGCCTACTGTAGACATTTTCCACTAACCATCTTACTTTTGCTCTCAAATCCAGTTCATTTGACAGCAGTTTCTTCAGACTTTTTTTTCCTGAAAAAGTCTACTGCAGCTCAGTATTTATCCAATTTGAACCTTTGGTTTGGGTCAAATTTGGCCAGAGTCTGAGAATGTGAGACACCCTATCAGATTTCCTTGGGATTCCCAACCCCCAAGTTTCATCTTCAGTAGAGTTGGGAAGACCAGCAAAGTCGGATGCCAATGTAGGCTCGAAATGCAAACTCTTTACCATCAAAAAGGGCTGGCCCATTTTAAATCGCTCAAGTTTGGACCCATACAAAATTAGGATGTGTTTAATGCTCTTATCAATCCCTGGAGTAACATCACACTATGTGTCACCTCTAGTAGGAACTGTTGTTTCCTCTGTACTCGAGATTCAGATCCTCACCTTTCCCTCCCTCAAGCCAAGGATGAGGGACCTCAACTTCTCACCCTACAAGAGGTTGAGGCATTCGGTGGGTCCCTTGATATGAGGGTGTTTTCTGGAAGGTTCAAATGAAACCAAGTGGCATAGTGCTACTTCAATATATGTGGACACTGATGAGTCTACTGCAGCTCAGTATTTATCCAATTCGAACCTTCGGTTTGGGTCAAATTTGACCGGAGTCTGAGAATGAGACACCTTATCAGGTTTCCTTGGGATTCCACCCCCCCCCCAAGTTTCGTCTTCAGTAGAGTTGGGAAGACCAGCAAAGTCGGATGCCAGTGTAGGCTCGAAATGCAAACTCTTTACCATCAAAAAGGGCTGGCCCATTTTAAATCACTCAAGTTTGGACCCATACAAAATTAGGATGTGTTTAATGCTCTTATCAATCCCTGGAGTAACATCACACTATGTGTTACCTCTAGTAGGAACTGTTGTTTCCTCTGTACTCGAGATTCAAATCCTCACCTTTCCCTCCCTCAAGCCAAGGATGAGGAACTGCAACTTCTCA